GAAGCCTGCCACGGCCATACAGTTTGCAACCAATATAAGTCTCTGTGTTTACTTGGTTGGGTCTGAGCGGCTGTGGGGCTGGCAGGTGAGAAAGATTTGTCCTGACTGTGGGCCAGGCAGGAAAACTCTAACTACAAACCAGAGTCTTTCCTCGGTCCAGGGGTAGTCCTCCTCTTCCAGGGAGGCCTCCTAGGTGACCTGCAAACCTGACTCTGCTGGTCTCTGCCCTCTGTGCGTGAACACAGCAGGGCTTCTATGCTTGCAAGCTCTTCACCATGGCTTGCCTCGTACCCCATGGCCGATCTTGCCCCATACAGGGCTCTTTTTCCACCCTCTCTGGTGTCCCAGGAGCAGAAGCTATCAACAGCCCATGCATTCAAGTGCTTCTGGCTGATGTGCCCTGGTCACAGAGAAGAGGGGATAGTGAGCCTAGGGGCTCCAAAGTGGTGTCCCATCGAAGGTCATGCATCACCCCATCTGAGTGGGGCTGAGTGGCGGCTTCTGGGCTTTTTCCTGTAAGGTCTGGAGCCACAGGAGCAATTGGGAGGGACCTCACGCTACTGTATTTGTCGAAGCCTTCCTGAAGCACTGGGCCTTGCTCGGCCTACTACCCAGAGGTCTCAGCAACTGTGTGTGACCTGTGTTCAGCCTTGGGATTAGCTCTCTTTAAAGACTTTCTTGTTTTATGTTTTCTTTAAAATTTTTCATGCAATATATTTGATCACGATTTCCCCTCCCCCAGTTCCTCCCAGATCCTCCCTACCTCTCCACCCAACTTTATGTTCTCTCTCTTTAAAAAAACAAACAAACACACATACACACAAAAAGACAAGAAACACACACACGAAGAAAAAACAAAAAAAGGAAGCCAAAATATTTAAGAAAAATACCGGTAAGACAAAAAATGCCCAAACAAGCAAAATGAGACAAAAAGTCTGCAAAAATACCATTGAGATCGTTTTTTATTGGCCAACTATGCCTGGGCATAGGGCCTACCCTGAAGTGTGGTTAATATAACCAATGAGACTCCACTGGAGAAAACCGATTGTTCCTCTGCCAGGGTATTGGTTGCAGGCTGCTTCTTGGTTAGGGGCGGGAGCCCATGTCTACGTGCCCCTCTCGATTTTCTTGTTTCAAATTTTATTTGTACATTTACTTATTTTGTGTGTATGTGTGAGGCCTCATGGGTGCCAGAGCATGCACCCATGAGGACAGAGGACAGTGGAGATCAGAGGACAGTCTGCAAGAGCAGGCTCTCTCCTGCCGTGAGGCCCAGGCATCAAGTTCAGGCCATCAAGTTTAACAGCAAGTATCTTTACCCACTGCATCATCTTGCTAGCCCACTGAAAGGATTCTTTTCTTTCTTTCTTTTCATTATTTTTTGCATATGAACATTTTGCCTTCACATATATCTGTGTACCACATGTATGAAATGCCTAAAAAGGCCAGAAGGCTTTGTATCTCCTGGAGCTGGAGTTACAGATGGTTGTGGGACACCATGTGGATGCTGTCCCACACAGGGAATTGAACCTGTGTCCTCTGGAAGAAGAGTTGGTGCTCTTAACCTCTGAGCCATCCAGGTACTGAAAGGGTTTTCTAAGCAGATAGTGGAGTAGCCATCAAGATACACACAGACCAAATAAATAACCACTCATAGCAATAGCAAGATTGGCAGGGACCTTTTTTCCGAGGGGGGGGGGGCCTGGGGAAGCCTGTCCAAAGGTGGGAAGTGTAATACATTCTGTGTCACTCTGAAGACCAGGCTCTCAAGGCTCCCTAAGCCAATAACCATGATAAAAACTTGAGGAGCCGACAGGGGACACACACCCCTCTTGTCACTTTAAAGAAACATCAGAACAACAGATGGCACCAGGCCTGGCTTTTCTCTTCCCTGCAGACCCATGTCTGGCTCCTCCTCTGAGCCCTTTTGCCCAGTTAATTCTGCACAGGCTGACTTGATTAGGTGAGGTCAGTGTCCCTGGATGACACCTAGAGGATGAGCTTTGTCTGGACACCTGCATTCCTCGTGGAAGGGTGAGGCCTGTTATAAAAGGGGTCCCTTTGGGATGCCTGCTGCTGGCCCAACACCACCTCCAGGTAGTCTGGTGGATGCAGTGTGCTCTCACCCCACCACAGCCAATCCCACATTCATTGAACTGTCCCATCATCTCACAATCCCTGAGAGTGTGTGCTGTGCAGGCGCCTTCAAAGCTGGAAAAGGAACGAGGTAGGACATGGTAGCTTGAGTAGCTGGATACAACCTGAAAGACACAGTCCCAAGCCCGGCTCCAATCCCGGCCCCAATGGTGGCATCTAGGCAGGCTGGCTCACCCACTATGGAAAAAGGTACACAGGCATTTGAATGTATTTTCCTTTCTTTGAGTTCTTTTTAACCTGCATTAGGTGTTTTGCCTGCCTGTATGAATGTTCACCACATGCATGCCCTCGGAGGTCAGAAGAAAGCATAGAAGCCCCTGGAGCTGGGGTTACAGATGATTGTGAGCTGCCGTGTGGGTGCTGGGAAGCAAACCAGCGTCTTCTAAAAGCACTCTAAACAGTAACCCAGGCTGGCCAACTCTAGATCCCCCTGCCCCACCCACCCGAGTGCTGGAAAAGCAGGCACACACAGCCACACATCACCCCCTCTTGGCATCTCATTTAAGACCTGGAGGCCAAGACGACTCGAGGGCAGTACTCCCGGTTGACATGAAACCGTGACAGGCTCGGACTCTTGTGAACTCCTGCTCCCCAGTCACTGCCTGCTGCTCAGCTTCTCTGCCTTCAAAGAGGGATCATAGCCAGCCTGCAGGCAGATCAGGTGAGATTCAGAGCCCGGAGTGGTGGACAGATAGAAGCCAGAGCGAAGTGCTGGTGTTGAGGACAAAGGCACACCCTCCGGGTCTGCCCGCCACAGGCTGGAAGACTTGCCCATCACTCTAGCCTCCAGCTACACTCAGCGGCTGGCTGGTGTCTCGCTTTCTTTCTCCCTCTCCCACTGTCCTCTGCAGCAGCGGATAACGGATAACGGTAGTTACTGGCCTTTGTGGAGGTGCTGCACACACCTCAGCACAACCAAACAAGGCCACACCTCCTAATCCTTCCCAAACAGTTCGTCAACTGGGGACTAAGCATGCAAATATATGAACCTATGGAGTGTAGGGGGTGGGTATTCTCATTCAACAGACCAGTGTCCAGAGGAGGAAACTGAGGTTGGCAGCAGGTGATGAGGCTTGATGGCAGCCCTATGTCTGTCTGGTGACCGCTGTGCCAGCTTGAAGGTGCCGCCCGCCTTCAGCCTGCAAGCCACATCAGCTGAGGACAGCTGTGAGTGCTGCCCAACAAAAAAACTGAAACCTTGAGACTTCTAAAAGATTATTTATTGTTGTGAAATATTAATTGGAGATGTGTTATGTTTGTTTGTGCTGTGGAACATTTGTTTAATGATGTAAAGATGTGTTGCATTCTTTTATGTTGCATTTGTTTAACTCTGTGAAGCTGTGTTACTTTGTCTAAAACACCTGATGGTCTAATAAAGAGCTGAACAGCCAATAGCGAGGCAGGAGAAAGGATAGGCAGGGATGGCAGGAAGAGAGATTAAATAGGAGAAGAAATCTGGGAGGAGACGATCATCAAGGAGAAAGAAAAGAGGAGAGGAGGGCGTCAGGGGCCAGCCACCCCGTTACACAGTCAGCCATGGAGGAAGAAGGAAAGAAGGTACACAGAATAGAGAAAGAGAAAAGCCAGGAGGCAAAAGTAGATGGGATAATTTAAGTTAAGTAAAACTGGCGAAAAACAAGCCAAGCTAAGGCTGGGCATTTATAAGAAAGAATAAGCCTCCGTGTATTTATTTGGGAGCTGGGTGGCAGGCCCCCCAAAGAGGCAAAGAACAAAGTATAAAAAAAACCAACTAATTTTTTATTATTTTAAAACTATGTGTGTGTGTGTGTGTGTGTGTGTGTGTGTGTGTGTGTGTGTGTGTGTGTGTGTATGTGTATCTGTGTGTGTAGCAGGCAGGCTTTACATAGGGTTTCAGGTGTGTGTGTGTGTGTGTGTGTGTGTGTGTGTGTGTGTGTGTGTATCTGTGTGTGCACATATGCGTGTGAGTGCAGGTGCCCAAGGAGTCCAGAAGAGGGTGTTGGATCCCCTGGAGGTGGACTTGCAGGTGAGCTGCCTGGTGTGGGTGCTGGGAACCAAACTTGGGTCCTCTGCAAGAGCAGTAAGCACTCTTAAGGGCTGAGCAGTCTTCCCAGCCCTTATGAACTTTCTCTTTTTGTAACTAGGCTGTGTGATTCCCATGAAATTTGTAGATATTAATGTCATTCCACAATGTCAAAAGGTTGGACACGAATGTTAGAATCTATTGTTCCCCACTTCATGGTTTCTGCCTATCTACACCCCTCCTGGACTATCAAATGTATTTAACATTGAATAATCACACACAATCATTGATTCAACAATGTTTACTGAAGACCCACTGTGTTCCAGGTACCATGTGTAGCAGGAATCTTAAAAGTTCTTATTAATAAAATCGAACCCGGGGCCAGTTATTGGGGTGAATACTGGAAGATCAGAGAGACAGAACAAGCCACAGCTAACCTCACCTGGCCAACTTCTCAGCTGATCTTGTTTCCTCAGACTGGAAGCCTCTGTGTCCTCATATCTGAATGGTTCTCAGCTGAACTGTGCTGCTCAAAACCTAAAAGCTTAACCAGCCAAATGCTTCTAGTTTCTGGTCCTCATGCCTTATATACCTTTCTGCTTTCTACCACCACTCCCTGGGATTAAAGGCATGAGTCACCATGCTTGGCTGTATCCTTGAACACATGGATTTCAGACTCTGGAATGCTAGAATTAAAGGTGTGTGCTTTTCTGTTCTCTGACCCCAGATAAGTTTATTATGGTACACAATATTTTGGGGAACACAATACCACCACAACCATGTGAGGGCCTGAGGCTAGAAAGTAAGCCAAACAGACAAAATTGCCTCCACACTCCCTTACCTGATGCAGTGTTCCATCGCTGTGAAGAAACACCATGCCCATGGAAACTCTTAAAAAAAAAAAAAAAGCATTTAATTGGGGCTGGCTTACAGTTTCAGAGGGTTAGTCCATTATCATCATAGCAGGAAGGAAGCAGGCAGGCATGGTGCTGAAGCAGTAGTTGAGGGCTTTACATCCTGATCCACAGGCAATAAGCAGAGAGAGAACTGGGCCTGATGTGGGCCAATACCTCAAAGCCCACCTCAGGAACACACCTCCTCCCACAAGGCCACACCTCCTAACACTTCCCAATCAGTTCGTCAGCTCAGGACTAAGCATGCAAATATGTGAAGCTATGGGGTGTAGGGGGGGGGGCATTCTCATTCAAACCGCCCACCATACCTAACAATACTGTTATTTATGTATTTGGTAGTCTCTCATGTCCCAGGCTAGCCTCGAACTCCTGAGATTACAGGCATGTCCACCACACTTGGTGTATGTTGACACATTGCTGGGCATGAGAGGGGAAGGTAATGACATCCCTATGCATTTTCCCAACATAGCACTGCAATGCAGTCTAAACCACAAACGTGTATTATCTCATGTTCTGAGGGTCCAAGATCAAGGTGCCAATAGGGCTGTTTCCCCTAAGGGCTTGTCCTAGTTTGTGTTCTGTTTCTGTGCTAAACGCCAAGACCAAAAGCACCGTTTGTTTCAGTTTCTACTTCCAGGTCATGGTCTATCATGAAGGAAAGGCAGGGCAGGAACTTAAGCAGGAATCATGGAAGAATGCTGCTTGCTGGCTTCTTCACTTGGTTCATGCTCAGCCACCTCTCTTGTTCAGCTGAGACCCACCTGCCTAAGGATGGTGCTGCCCACAGTGGGCAAGGCTCTTGCCTGTCAATCATCCACTAAGAATCTCTCACAGACATGGTCACAGGCCAATCTGACCTGGGCAATTGCTCATTTGAAGTTCCTGCCTCCCAGGTGGCTCTAGGCTGTGTCAAGCTGGCAATAAACCTAAGCAGCACAAGCTTCTCTCCCAGGCTTGTGTATAACCCTTCACTAAGTTCTCACATGCATGCTTGGTGTCTCTCTGCGTGACAAAACCTCCTCTTCCTGTGAAAATACCCACGCGTGCAGGCTCATCCTGGTTCTCTTATTACATATCTTATTATAAGTCACCTCTCTGAAAGCTATGTCTCCAAACAGCCACATTTCTTGGCCATAGAACTTGTCTTACTGAGAGTTTTATTGCTGTGAAGAGACACCATGACCACAGCAATGCTTATAAAGGAAAACATTTCATTGGAGCTGGTTTACAGTTCAGAGGTTTAGTCCATTATCATCATGGCAGGAAGCATGGCAGTGTGCAGGCAGACATGGTGCTGGAGAGGTACTGATAGTTCTACATCCAGACAGGCAGACAGCAGGATGAGAGAGACCCTGGGCCTGGCTTGAGCACTTGAAACCTCAAAGCCTTCCTCCAATGACACACCTCCTCCAAGGCTGTACCTGCTCCAGCAAGGCCACTCCTCCTAACAGTGCCACCCCTGTGAGCTTATGGAAGGCATTTTCATTCAAACCACCATGGAACTGATGGGTACAGAGCAGGCCAAGAGCCCAGGGGCACCTGTGTCCCACCGCTCTATGTGACTGCGTATCAGAGAATTTTCTACTACGGTAGCCACACGGCCTTCCAGTGATCTTTTGTTGTTATTATTTGCTTGTCTGTTTATTTTTACTTTTGTTCTGCCTTGAGATAGGGTCCCGTGTAACCCAGACTGGCCTCAAACACACTGTGCAATTGAGGATGACCTTTGTCTTAATTACTTTTCCATTGTTGCGAAGAGACACCATCTCCAAGACAATAATTAGACTAAAGAGTCTATTGGGAGCTTGCTGACAGAGGGTGAGTCCATGACCATCCCGGTAAGGAGCATGGCAGCAGGTGGGCAGGCAGGGTGCTGAGCTGCGGGTGAGAGCTTGAAACAACACCCAGGAGGGAGAGAAAGCTAACTGAGAATGGTGTGGTGTGGGGTTTTGAAACCTCAAAGCTCACCTTCAGTGATGCACTGCCTCAGGCAAGGCCACATCTCCTAATCTTCCTAAATAATTCCCCAAACTGGGGACCAAGCATTCAAACATACGAACCTGTGGAGGCCATTCTCATTCAAACCATCACAGCCTTGAACTCCTGATCCTCCTGTCTCTACTTCTTGAGTGCTGGGATTACAAGCATATGCCACCTCGGCTGGTTTGTGCAGTGCTGGGGATCCAACCCAGGGCCTCCTGCATGCCAGACAGACACTCCACCAACTGAGTGACATCCCCAGCCCTCTCTGGTGTTTCAGTGTTCCTAGGGAGACCTTTATAGTGGCACACACACACACACGGTCTCGTTCAACAGTTTAGAGTGGTGTGTGGTCCTAGCTCCCTCGCCATTTGTTCCAAATTACCATTGTGTTCCTTTCTCCGTTATGACTGTAGCCTAGCATCTGGAAGGCTTGCATGTGGCCCACTGATACGATGTAATGAGAGCTGTACCCACCTACCTAGAGAGGTCACACACAGAGGATGTACGACCTGAGCTTGGGGCATTGTTTCCCTGAGTTTGTACACAAAGACCCTCCATAGCAGGGCTTAGTGGGCAGACTCGAGAGTCGGGTCTTTGTTTAATAGGAGTCTCTTTTCTCCAGGCATCAAAGGGATTAATTTTGTAGAGTAAACAGACTTCAAAACAGGATGCAGGCTCTGAAAGCCTGCACCTGGCTTGCTAGTCCTGGCTGGGTAGAGAAGGAGAAGGATTTGAGGCAGCACATGAGGGAAAGAGGGGACAGGAACCTTCTTGCAAGCATTCAGCAAACAGGCTCTGCAGAGCCCTGACTGACCTGGCAGGGATACCCTGGACAGTCAGGTGAGGCCGGCTTCCTACCCTGTTTTCCTGTGTCCACCTACACACAGGAGCCTCACCTCCTGGCTGACTGTGTCCAAAGATGTGCTTGCTACATTCCAGAAGGATTTGAAGACCATGCCTGGGAAAGACACATGTTCCCTGGACTGGTGGAGTCCCCTCCCCAAGCAGCCCCTTTCTACAAAACCAGAAAACTGGGGGCATCTTTGGGATCCTGACCCCTTGGGAATCCCCAGTTCAGATACTTTAATCCCAGCACTTGAGATCTCATGCCTTTGCTTGGGAAGTCACTTTTAATCCCAGCACTAAAAAGGAAGTGATATGGTGGGCAGAGAAAGGTATATAAGGAGTGAGGAGACAGGAACTAAAGCCTTTTCGGCTGAGGAAGTTCATTAGGCTAGAGGCCTCGGTTGAGGCTTTTCGACAGAAGCGTCCCTTTCAGCTAGAGGCTTTTTCAGCTGGAGCCTTTTGGCTGAGGACTCAAAGAATTTCAGTCAGAGGATTTGTGGAATTGGTGAGGTGAGATGTGGCAGTGGCTTGTTCCTCTGTCTCTCTGATCTTCAGGCAAAGTTTATTAGAGTACACAATATATCACCATGAGGGAGCCACAGCCATCAGCCCAGGGCCTCGAAGAGGACTGAACTGTGTTGATGGCTCCTTATATCCCAGCACCAAGCCCAGTTAATAAATGCTGAATGAACATGCAAATGAAGGAATAAACTAAGGATGAATGAATGAGAAAGCCTGGCTGCTCAAAGATAAGCTAGCCCAAGTATAGCAGAAGTTAACGGAATATCACCAGAGGCCCAGGAAGCTGGCCAGCTTCAAGGCTCGGTGACAACCCCCAATACCATAATTCATAGCGTGTAGCCTTGCGGGAACATGGCTGAAGCTTTGGTCCTGCGACCTAGAGGATTTGGGAAGGACTATAGAGGCTCTGAGAGAAAAGCCATGTCTCCTCCTAGGCCACCTCTTCTGTCCTCTGATGTATACACCACTTGGAGGTTCATGTGGCCAGCAGATGTAGTGAGGAAATCGCCAACCCTTCCTATTTGCCAGTCATTCCCAAAGGGCCTTCCTGGAAATGGATCTCACACTTCTCTCAAAAACATCTTTAGGGGCTGAGGAGATGATGGCCCAGTCAGTAAGGCTTCGCCTCAGAAGCATGAGCACAGAGTCTGGATCCAGAGCCTATGTAAAGAGCTGGCACTGTGGCCCTGGGGTCTGCAGTCCCAGTGGTGGTGAGATGGGAGGCAGACTGGCAGGTCCCTGGGAGCTCCTGGGCCAGTGTCCTAGCTGCATTTCGGTGATAAAACGTTCTGACAAAAACAGTTTGGGGGAGAAAGGGTTGGTTTTAGCCCACAATTCCAGGTTACAGTCCATCCTTGAAGTCACATTAGGAGGAGGTTGAAAGAACTGGTCACATTGTGTCCACAGTCAAGAGCAGAGATGGACACATGCATATTCACGTGCTTGCTTGCTTGTGCTCCATTTGATTTCTCCACTCATCTGCCTAGGGAATGTAGCCACCCATAGCGGGCTAGGACCTCCTCCAGCAATTAACAGAATTAAGACAACCTCCCCCGACAGGGCTGCCCAACGTAGACAATCCCTCGCTGAGACTCTCCCCAGGTGATTCTAGGTTATATACAGTTGACAATTAAAACCAATCATCACAGCCATCTAGCTTGTCCCACATGGCAAAGTTCCAGGCCAACCCCTAAGAAGCTGTGTAGGGCAAATGTCTCTGAGGGAATCAGGTTACAGAACGCAAGGAGCCTTACTTAGTAAACCAACCTTAGCCACTGGGAAGGAGGCTGCCTGCAGCCTGTTGGGAAAGGGGAGGGGTTGGACAGGGCCCATAGCCCCTGTCCTCCCCAGCAGATGTGCTAAGGCTCAGAGGACAGGTGCAGCTCTCATCAGGGACAGTACTCAGCAGACATTGCAGAAGCAGACTCTCAGGGACCCACAACCATCACCAGGAAGTAAAAGAAGCAGCTTCCCCAGGTAGGCCAGTCAGAAGCCCTGGCTGCCTGGGAACAGAAGGGCCCCTGGCTTCGTGGGTTTCTCATACTCTGTACCACAAAGTTCTGTGGACTTTGCTTGGCCAAGGGTGGGAGAACCCAGGCTGAGCACTTAGGGAGGAGCAAATGAAG